AGGGAAGCGTCCGGGGTCCGCCCCCCAGGGCTACAGGGAAGCGTCTCGGGGTCCCGTTACTCAGAGCGTCAGATGTGTGGAGGGTCCCTGGCTACACCACCTGCTGTTTCGATGGTGCATTCGGCGGCCGGCCAGGGGGCTCTGGGTGCGGATTCCGGATCTGGCCTTGGGGTGACTGACGTCCCCTCCTCCCCACTGATCCCGCCGGAAGCCCGCCCCCTCCCTGCCCAGCCTGCACATGTACCTGATGGGCTCCTGGTCTTCTTTGTCTTCCTTGCTCTGTGCTATCCTGATGCCGCTCTTCTTTGCTCTCGGGCAACCTGAAAGACTAGAGAAGGGACAGGGCTTCAGGAGACATCCGCTCTGCGGGGCCGGCTGGCTTCCTTCCTGCACCGGCTGCTCGGACCCCGCTTTCTGCAGAAGCCGGAGCTTCTCCCCATGAGCACAAACTCTGGGAGGAGGGCCGTTCTGGGGGCAGCCCCTCTGCGTGGAGACAGGCTGGGGTGCCTGGCTGAGAGAGGATGGGCGGCCAGGCACAGAGAAGGGGCCACTTGGAGCAAGAGAACACGCACTCCCTGGGTCTCTCTTGGTGACCCGTTTTCCCCAGCCCTGCCCTCTGGGGGGAACATGGTATAGACTTCAGTGTGTCTGCAGAAGGTACAGAGGAATTGTCAAAATTTTGGAAATAGAAGCTCACATTTACCTATAGGAAAATTTCCAGCTGGAACAGAAAAAGTACTCACGTATGGATGGGCGTATACATAGCCTGACAATAGGCTATTACGTGAGATTATACACAAGAATATATAGAATAGATGGGATTCCTTGCAAAGAACTGAAGAACCAGAAACTAGGCCTTTTACTGAGACGCCCAGGACACGTGGCCTCGGACTCCAGGGTAGACACCCAGCAGTGGTGCAGGCGGGGCTCGGGCCACTGTCCTCGCTGGGCCTGGGCTTGCAGTGCGTCCTTCCTGGGTCAGTCCCAGCTCCCTTCCGGGCACGTGGGTTCTCAGGTGGAGGTGCGGCTCCATCCACGGGAGGTCTGTTCCCCAGCACGGCACCCTGTGTCCTCCGCCTTTTTCCTTCTTTGTGAGGCTGCCGGGCTCCTCTGCGGTGAGAAGCAGCACTCGCAGTCAGAGGGGGCGTGCGGGGGGCCTGGGCTCTGGGCTGGGGCTTTGGGCGCCCAGGCCGGCCCCTCCTGTCTCCAACGGCACGTGTTCCTACCCCCTCATGCCTGTCTCCTTCAGCAGGGGCACGGGAAAGACCAGGTATGCCTGCATTCTCTCTCTCCAGCTACCTTCATCCCCCCCCCGACTCCGTTTTGAGGTAAAACCTCGGGAAGTGGGGGTCCTCTTGCCCCACCTCTGACTGCTCAGCAGCTGCCCTCACCGTGGTCTGGCTTCTCATCTCTGCCTGGAAAAGTGCTCTTGCCCAGCTCACCGTGACCTGAAGCTGGCGGGCGCTCCTGGCCCCAGGGCAGGGGACCACCTGCAGCCCCTGGGACGCTCCTCCGGAGGCTGGTGCAGCCTCCGCATCTGCGGGTCCGTGTCCTGCCTGCCCTGGGGCCCTGACCGTGCTCACGCTCCTTGTGCCCCTCCCTTCCTTCCTTGCTGCAGCCGCGGGCCCAGCGTGTCCTAAGTATCTTCGAAATCGGCCACCTTCTCCCTCCGAGACGCTGCGTTAGACCAGGCCGGCGCTCATGGGCGCTGCACTCAGGCACTCTGTTTAAGACCTTCCAGTGGCTCACCGCCAAATTCCTCCACGTGCGCACGAGGCTCCCAGGGCCCGGCCCTGCCACCGGTTCTGTCCCCGCTGCCCCCGCCCCCGCTCCGTCCGCCTGCTCGCAGGCACGTCGTCCCAGACATCTTCCTGGGTGCAGGGGCCCTGCTGACCGCCCGGCCCGGGAGCCCGGGGAGCCCTGTCCCTTGCGTCACGTGCGCCGTGCTTGACGCCGTCCACTTACGTAGCACGTGCGACTAAAGCCACGAGCGCTGAGCTGTGTGCTTGTTCACCTTCGTCCAGGCCATTCGCGCAGCGGGGACTCTGTGCGCCCTCGGCCCCTGCCGGCTGGGCGGGGAGACCTGCTGACCACCCCTGCTGTCCCGGCCGCCACCGCTTTCATTCCCGGCTCCAATCTCCTCCTGGATGAGCCCGTCACCTCCGAGCCACGCTTTCGGATCCGGGAATCCCAGGTGACACTTGAGTTGTACTCTACATGATGACGTCTCCTGCATAGATGTCCCACGGTTCCACGTCGCTGACACGGGGGGCTCGCGGCGTGTCTGAGTCTGGATCTGAGATCTCATGGATTTTGGAAACACCGCCAACACTTTCAGAACCCCTGCCCTCTGTGGGTGGGGGCAAGGCCGGGGTGGGGTGTGCGGGCGGCGCCTAAGCGGGCGCTTAGGGAGTGCCGTGTGGGGGGCTCACTGTGGTGGACAGAGAGGCGCCACGTCCCTGACTCTCTGGCTGAAGAGATGTGTGCCCGTGTGGGGATCGATGGCCGCGCTGAGCAGGCCCGAGGAGTGTCCTTGTTGTGCCTGGGACCCCGGCCCCACCCGGAGAGCCCCTGGTCCCTTCCTTTCGCTGCCGACTCAGGCCCCGGCGACCTGTCTGCATCAGGCAGCCACGGCTTGGGGCGCCCGGCACGTGGACGTGCCCCGGGGAGTCGGGCCTCGACTGGAGGCGATGTGGTTGCTGTGTGGTTTCCTCCATGAGATCAGGGCAAAGATAACAGTCTCATAGCACCGCGAGACTGGAGAGGCAAAGTGTTCAGTAATGCCCATGGCCGGTAGCAGGTGCTCAGCAAACACCGCCTTTGTCATGAGGGGACATCCCGGAACCCTCCGTGTGCGGTGGCTCTCTGAGCCTGCAAGGCGGTCCCGGGTGTCCGAGGCCCACGCGGGCTCTTGGAAAGCACAGACGCGGCTTCACGCTGGGGGACACCTCCTGGCCTTGGGGTCTCTCGCCCTCTGTGAGTGATGACGCATCAGAGGGGTGATGGGCCCTCGGGAGCCCGCGTGGCAGGACCACGCTGGGCAGTGGGGGAAGGGCCGGCTCAAGAGAGGATCCTCGTTGTCGTTGTGGACAAGGGCCGTGGCCCCTGTGCCGTGGTCAGACACTAAGGGACCAGCAACTGTTCACGTTTTGACGCTGGAAGTTCTGGCCACGTGAGCACTCAGACATTTCTTTTCAAGGTAAATTAAAATAAAGAGTAGCATAGAATGGGCTTGAGTTTTTATACTTAATTGGAGTTTTTAGTTGAATTGAATTTACTCTAAGGCAGCGATGTTGCTCTGGCAGGTAACTGCAGGTGGTAACACTCAATCTCTGCATCGCACACAGCGGCGGGCTCTGCCCGGCCTGGTCAGCGGGCTCAGCGCCACAAGGCTGCTCCCGTCTCTGGGGGTGGTCCCGGCGAGCACTTGGTGACGTCTGGAGACTTCTTGGGTTGCCACGAGTGGCGGAGATGGTGCTGCTGGGTCTGCTGGGTAGAGCCCGGAGGCTGCTCGACGCCCCACAGCAAAGCACCGTCCAACCCCGAGTGTTGGCAGCACCCAGGTGGACAGCCCTGGCGGAGAGGAGGAGCGTGAAGAATCCTCCCGTGACCCCACGATTCAGTTCTCCCCGTGGACACTCCGAGTCTGTGCGTGCCCCAGCCCGGAGCTGCCGAAACCTGCTTGCACCGTGAGCACAGAAGTGCGAGGCTCTCAGGAGGATCCCTGTGAGGAAGCAACCTGCCGTGGGAGCTGTGTCCCTCGTCCAAACCGTGCTAGCAGCCAGTGAGCGCCCCCTGCTCTGACCACGGCGACCGGGCCACACGGGCGGCCACATGCTCCACACCATCCACTGATCCACTCAGTGGGGTCGGCTGGCAAACACCCTCCCTCTGGTGGGCAGCCCACGACCAACACTCTCTCTGAGGGGCCTCTCCTCTCCCCGCCTCCCTCCCTCTCTCTCTCTCCCCCTCTCTCTCCCTCTCCCTCTCTCCTTCTCTCTCTCTTCCCTTCCTCTTCTTTATTCTTCTTGTGGGAGATACATTTGAAGCGCAAATGCTCATCGACTTTAGGAACGTCCACTTTATCATCTGAAATTCAGACTGACAAGGCAACAGCATCGTATAACTTAGTGTCCATATTTTCTGGGTGCAGCACTGTTTTCCATTGTTGGATGGGTCCTTGTTCATGAACGTCCTTGTCTTTACCTTGGCCCTGGCTCGTTGCCACTAACGGAACAGGACATGAAACTGGGGCACCTGGCCACAGGTCTGGATCCACTTTTGTGAAGACAACGTATCCAAAGCTTCTTTCAACTCACTTCTGATGTATGGCCTGGCATACATGACAGGATCTCTATGCTGCGTTTCAGACACTCCCTTCTCCCCGGGAGCCCCAGGGCCTGCGATGAGTTCCGTAGAGCGCGTCTCCGTGTCTTCAGCTCTGCTCCTCGCTTAGAATGGCTGGACAGCCGGCAGCTCACATCTTCCTGTTTAAGAGGCCAACTCCCAGTGGTGCTGGAACGCTTGCCTCTCAGTGACTGTCCCAGGGACCTTATAATATGCCTGCGATGGGTGTTTTCCCGGCACTCTTCCGATTTGGAAAGGCTGCTGCTGGCTGAGCTGAGAAACGTTCTTGCAGGTGAGCCCGGTGCGTGCCGAGGGGGTGCGCTTGCTGTCCAAGGAAGGACCCCGAGGACGGCGCTGCTCTGCGGTCCAAGTCTGTAGACCGTATGTAGCTGTGGGCCAAACTGAGTGTGCGCGGAGCCGGCCGATGCCCGGGGGGTAAGGGGCGAGGGAGGAAGAGAACAGGCACCTTGCTTACCTCCGGTGAGAAGCGTAGTTCCCGGTGATGTGCCCAGAGCCATCACAGCCAGGGGTGGGGCACCTACAATTAAAAATGCAGAACGGGCAATTGACTTGAGAGAAAGAAAATCCCCTGAACAATTAACCCCCTTCTCTATCCAGAAAGCAAACTCCTGAATGCTTCACCTCCCTACTTGAAAGAGACAGATGGAGCCGGAAGCTTCCTGGCTGGGAACAGGGACCTGTGTCCACTGACCACACCACCAGATACCAACCTTGGCTACCTTCTTCCTTCCAAGCACAACGGCACTTTCCAGAAGGACCACGGATGTCAGTACCTGCCTCGGTGGCAACAAGCCCTGGAGCATCCTGGTCCCGATGCTGTTTACTCCAGTCAGTTCCCTCCAAATAGTTCATGTCACCCTCCCTTCTTGTTACTTTCGTTTCAGTGGGACTCAGCTTCAGCAGCTACGTGCGAAGCAAGATTTGTACGTGGAGGGGTGTGCACAGAGGCCTGAGAGACTGCTCTTGGTCTACACTGGCAACAGCAGTGTTATAACGGGCTCCCGGGAAACGGACTCTTGGCAAGGCGGGCTGACTGGCTGCCCCGAGCCCCGTGACGGCAGCAGCCTGGAGCGGAGCGCTGGGATTCGCTGGGCAATCAGGTAGGTTTGAGTTGCCTTGAAGCCGTTTTAGCTGACCCGAGTGGAGGCCAGGTGTCTCGATCAACCAGGTATGGCGAGTACTTCTCGATACCCGCACTACACCTGTTTGAGCCGAGCGAGGCCACGTCCCCTGGGTTCTTAACTACCACACTGCCATTGCCCGAATGGGACAGAATGTGCTTTAAAAAGTTTTATAATTAATGCCCTTCATATAGCTTCCTAAATGAGCCGTCTCAAGAACAATCAGGTGGCACTACAGAGACATTTCAGTTCATGCTATTTTAGTTTTCTTGTACCCACCAGGAATGTAAAAATTAAGGACAAAAATTAAGAAAAAGTTCTTTTTTCCATAAACTTTGTATATTTAAAAAACAACAACAGCAAAAAGCAAAAAACAAAACAACACAAACCCCACCAAGGATGACGGGACTTAGTAAGCAGCAGTGACACGTGGATCGTGTCCTGTGTCCCCGCCCCCACGCAGGGAGCCCCAAGGTCCTGGCAAGGACAAAAATCATACGTTTCGCATAGTTAATAAATGTCTACTGCTTCTGAGGAGTTTCAGTTTGCTTTGCACTCGGAGAGTCCCGGTGGAAACTGGATGCTGAGCCGGGGCCGGGGAACACTCGCTCCCCTGCGCCCTGCGGGTCCCTCGGCATTGCACAGGGATGGGACTGGGGGCGTCCCGTGCCGACACTCGCGTGCGCAAACAGTGTTCGGTATTCGGACACTGTCTACACCTCCTTCAGTCCTCAGAAAGGGACCAGAGCCCTAGCTCTCGAGGAACGGAGCTTGGTGTCTGCTGCATCATATTTTTTTTTTTAAAGATTTTATTTATTTATTTGAGAGAGAGAGAATGAGAGAGAGAGAGAGAGCATGAGGGGGGGAGGGTCAGAGGGAGAAGCAGACTCCTCGCTGAGCAAGGAGCCCGATGCAGGACTCGATTCCAGGACTCCAGGATCATGACCTGAGCCGAAGGCAGTCGCTTAACCAACTGAGCCACCCAGGCGCCCTCTGCTGCATCATATTGAAGGTTAGTTCAGTTTACAGCCCACTGCGAGGGCACAGAGGCAAGCGGGGAGGCGAACATCACTGGTGTGCGCACTTGGAACCGGGATTTTTAAAACAGGCATTTGAGGCAGAACAATGGGGCGTTTAAAGTGGAATCTATGTATCAAGAACAGCAACAACCCAAAATCGGATTGTTGACCTGATTTTAAAGCAACAGCTGGTTATGTACAATTAAAGTTTGATCACAAGACTCCTCTGCCGATTGCTAAGTAATTACTTTCTAAATAATAAGGGGGGTGACTCGACCTCGCTGGCTGACCTCCCACAGGGCACCTCATGCGGGTAGAGCCCCTGCCCAGAGCGCTCACAGAGGGAGGACGATCTGAGAGCAATGAGAATCGTTCCGTCTTAGAGAAGCTCATCTTCATGCAACTTTGTTTGGAAAATGTATCAAGAAACAGAAATGTTTCCCACGAGCCAATAATATACACTTGGCCTTGTTTTTGCTTTAGAAAAAAAAAAAAATCCCCAAACTCTTCCTAATTTAAGCACTCAGTGAAAATTTATTTAAAATTTATTCATTTTAACACGAGTAGAAATTTTTCAATATGCCTTTTTTTGGTGAGGGCTGTAGGAGGTTGACATATTCTGTTCAGATTTAAAGTGAGGCATTATAACCAAACTAATGCAAATGAAAATCAGATTTGACTAATTATAAAAAAAAAAGAGAGAGAGAAAGATTTTCAGAGTAGATTTTGTGTGTTTAAGCCATTTACAAAGGCAATAAAAAAAAAGGAGGCGTTTAAAATGTCCTCTATCACCATGCAAACAACAAACAAAATATTGATCTGGCCCATTTTCAGAGCTTCCACTGTGTTGGGAAAGAAAAAACATTTCCAGAAAGAGTTCTTGCTTTCTTAAAAGGTTTGCTCTTCTTGTCAAGACTTCAAGTCAGGCAGATGGGGTGGAGTCCCAGGCCAGCAGCCTGCAGGCTGCATGACCTGAGTCTGCCCCTCGCCGGCCACACCCCTGCACAGCTGCTCCCAGGCCTGCCATGAGTTCTTTCCCGGGTAGGCTCTCCTGCCTTCACCCCCTTCGACTGCTCAAGCCCAGCGCTGTAGCGCAGGGCCGGGGCTTGGGATGCCTGCTCAGAGGAGCCCATGGCCTTTCTTTGTTGCCTTCCCCTGACACAGCCCAGCCGCTCCCGGTTTTGTCAGGGCTGGTAATTCGGCTCTTTCATCTTTAGGTGGTGCTTCTGGACCACATAAGGCAGCCCAGAACGGTTTCTTTCTTCTATCAGCTCTACGTAGTCATTTTTCTGTTGCTGTTCAAGATTTTAAGGCTTTTTTAAATTCTTAGATTTACATACAGATTTCCTAGCTTTAAGAAATCTCAACCCTCAAAAATAAAATTTTCTGAAGTCGGTGAATGAAGGAGTGATTATTCACCTAACAAAAGGGGTCTTTGCTTCTCAGATGGAGCCAGCTCCAGGACCCTTGATAATGGGGTGGTGTAAAATCGATTTACAAAAATTCGATTTGCATCTACCCATCTAAGAGCAAGCACATCTTTTCCGTGAAGGGAGGCCCATGTGGGTAATCAAAATCCCCCGTGGATAAAATCAGACAGTACCATGTGCTGCACAGCTTGGGTTTTGAAATGGCAGAAGAGATTGACTGGGTTTCCATGGAAACTCCCCATAAGGCAGGCACAGGTTCTCCGCGCCGAAGTCCTCGGCAGCCGCAGGGAAGCACACCATACCCTCACCGCCCTCCGCGCTTCCTGGCAGTTATCAGGGACAAGAGCACCAAGGCTATTTTAAGTTCCCGTGGTTAGAGATGCAAAGTTCTGTGACATAAAACACTTGCCTCAAATATCACTTCTCTTCCCCTCCAAAGGTACTCTTGGTGGAAATACTCTGAGAACGCACATGATGAACAAATGATCTTAGAGCTAGACTTGCTGCCTCATGGATGTCTTCAAGACAAAAAACATTTGTGCCTTATCCATGATCTTGCATTTGTCTTGGGTTTAAGTAATACACCAAGAGAAAATAATTTGGGGTAGTGCATGTTATCATCTGGCTGGAAATATTGGTCTTAAAAAGACATTTAAGAATGGCAATGGGAAAAATCATGATAAAATGTTTTAAACAGTGTTTAAGTTTTGCAGAATCCAAGCAAAATCTGAAAAAAAAAAAAATATCAGGACCATTCACAAAACTTCTGGATTTCTGATTTCATGGAACTAGTCCTTCTCAAGTAGGAGTGAACTGGGTTTGTGTTGCTTTTGTGGATCTAAGACATCAAAGAGACCTGTGAGCCCAAACCTCCCAGAACGCCCTGTGTGCTCATGGCTTCTCTCAACTACTCCCCACCCAAGGACACATTCTGCTTGGACCTATATAGGAACTGTCACTGATCACACCCACATGAGGTATATCATGAGGTCATGAGCTATATCCCCTAATATCAAAACATAACTTAATGTCTATACATTGAAATACATAATCATGAAAACCATGTGATTTTGCATTGGCGCACATCTCAAAAATGTGACAATAGACCACCCTGCTTCTTGCCTGTCCCTGCTTTGTCCCTCAGCAAGACATACGACCTACTACCGTGTTGTTTTCTCCCATTTACAAAACCCCTGTCCTGAGACAGGGTGGGCAAAATGGAAATCACTAAATCCACTGACAAGTTGTATCATCAATTAATTATTGATAAGAATATCTTTAAAGTGCTTCCTCCATGTGCTATCATGCCCCCCTCTTTTGAAAATAAATATGAGGATTTGATAAATAGTTATATTAAGGAAGACATCTAAAACAGGACACTTTCTCCCAGTTGAACGGATGTCCACACTAAAGTGCCAGTTACTACACATCATGAGCTGAGACCGGTCAACCGTGTTGCATCAGTCCTGTTAGTGATACGTCATGAGCACCTCGGAAAAAGTCCAAGGCAGATTCTACGCACACAAGCATTTGTTCTGGGGGACCCGAATGCGCTGCCAAGGCATCCTTGTTGGATACCAGGTGGCTAAGCCCCAGGCTCCTTTGGGCTAGCCTCTCACCGTCTACTTCCTGGGGAATGACCTTGTCCTGAAGACCAAGAGGCAATCCACCCTGAGTGCACCAGCCCAGGACTCATGGCATTCACGTCTGACTCAGTCTGAGCTGGCAGGCCTGCTGGGGGAGACCGAGCTTGTCTCCCCCAAAATCAACTTACGGGAAAAAAATATTTGGAGGCATCTCATGATCTCTTATCTTGATAAGAGTCAATTACTTATTTTTAAAAATCTGATAGAGGCTGAAAGCACTGTGGGCGTGTTTGAACTGCATCCTCACTCTCTGTGTAGTCGACCTACCTCGTCAAACTGCCCTAGAAGACTGACT